ATTATTATATAAAAATTAAAAAATTTATTCTTCATTACAAAATAAAATAATCTTACTTAGTACATATTGTTATATACAGGTAATTAATAATGTTATTTGATATTTTCTGGTTTTAAAATATTCGAATATTTCACTGTATTGTTGAATAAGAATACATAAGGATTTCTGAATATTTAATGTTTAAATATATATTCACACATTCAAATAATTAAAACTAAATAATTAAAATGACAAAAGTTTTGGCCTAAAGCGGTGAATTAATCACAATGTAAAATGTTACACGTAATTACTAAACAACTAAATAATTAAAAAAAGCATTAGTACACAATTTCTCAATTCTCAAAGCGGCAAAGCCTGAAACGCAACCTTCATAGCTACAAAATCGAAACAAACCCAAATCCAAATATATTGATTGCAACTTTGTCCTCAATATTACTAGCTACATAATACTTCGTATATTAATTGCAACTTCGAAAGAAACCCAAATCCAAATAATCGAAAATTGAATAACTAAAAGTCTATTAGTACAATAAATAATATGTAGCAGCAAGTTGAAGTTTTGAACAAATTAACAAAAAACATGTACTCCTGTAGGCTGTAACTTTGAAACGTATACGGTATACCAGAGGCAATAGAGACGCAGTAGAGTAACAGACGGCCAAACGCTTCTCTTTCTCCTATCGGCAGACCTTACGCCCCTGTTTAGGATTTCTAATTTCAGCATTTAGGCAGTTGGGCCGCTTTGGCTTGATAACGTATTAACAGCACCAGCGACGTCGTTTCATTTCTTTTTAGTACTTATTCAAAACGGCGTCGTTTGGATTATGTTATACTCATCTGACTTTTGAAAGACTGAAATCGGCCATCTCCCAAAAGCAGCACAAAGGTCGCCGGAAACCACAAGGAGCAGGGAAGAAGAAGACCGGGCGCTGGGGAGATTATACATATATATACCCTAACATCTCCGGCGAAGGGGTGGCGCCAGCACCGGCTCGCTCCCCCCTGGTTCCGCCACTGCCTAGGGGTGCAAACGAGCCGAGTCCGAGCATGGATATGCTTGAGCTTGATAAGAATTCACGAGTTCGAGCTCGATCTCGAGCTTGGACGAGTTAAATAATTCGAGTTCGATCTCGAGCCGAGCTCGGCTCGAGTTTCATTCGAGCTTGATTCGAGCTCAGGTCAAGTTTCGCTAATTAATTTTTGTAGGTTTGAACTTGAATAAGATGCTCGAACTTGAGCTAAAATATTATATGTGTACTTATTCATTCTCATTTTTAGTTTATCTCTCATTTACTAACATTTTTTTCTTTATTTTACTATCAATAAATATTAAGAGTACATATTATAATGATTACAAATTATTATGGTTATAATAATACTACTACGCACATGTTATTATTTTTGAAATTATTCCTATTATAATATACTCTATGATTAATATTAAAGATGGAATAGTCCTAAATTAGAATATATTTTTCAAAAAAGTATATATATAATTATTACATATATATTTATTATATATAAAATATAACACAAAAGGTCGCGAACCGGCTCGCGAGCCACGAGCCTAAAATAAATAGGCTTGAATAGAGCTTGTTAACTATTCAATTCGAGCCGCACTCGAGTCTAGCTTAATATGACCGAGCTCAAGTCGAGCTTTTTCCGAGCGATCCACGAGCAGCTCGCGAGCGGCTTGGCTCATTTAGACCCCTACTCTGACCCTAGGCTAAAAAACAATAACTTCATTTAAAATAAGTTTTTCTTACATATTTTTATCAAGCTTATAGACATGTAAAATGATACTCCCTCCGTCCACGAAAGAAGTTCTCACTTTCCTTATTTGAATTTCCCTAATTTAAGTTTCCATTTCCTTAAATGGAAAGTTATCTACATCAAAACAGTGTCAAACAGTGCAAAACAGTGTCAAACAGTGCCATACAGTGTCGAAACAGTGTCAAAACAGTAAAATTTACTCTCTGGTAAGTTTACTTGCATAAAAGTGTGTTAAAGTCAAATGGAAACTTCTTTCGGGAACGGAGAGAGTAATATAAAAGCTTTGTGTCATAGATTTATGTAGAGGAGCAAAATAATCATACGAATTGTGACAAACTTCTTGCAACAAGAAAAAGAAAATTGACATATTTTTAAATCGTGACCTTATCTAGTAATGGAGATTGGAGATTCAAATAATGTACACTACACATTTTATCTAACTAGCTCATATATTATCTCTATCTATAACTTAGGTATTGTATAGAATATTAGATATTACACATTAGCTAAATTTTCTGATATTGTGGCCGCAATTTTGAGGCTATGTAAAGCGGCATCCGTACAATTTTTTTTTTTTTTTTCTAGAATCATATTACGAGCTCGTTTTGAATTGTTGAAATTGATTATATGTTTTGTCATTGATTAAATAATTAAGTGTCATATTTTCATTTTTTGAAATATCTTTCTAAACTTTTTTTTTTTGGAAACATCTTTCCAAACCAATTAAAGTATATGTTCATGATAATGTCAACATTTTTTTATTATGATAAAAAAATCTTAAGATGACAAAGTATTTGACGACTAAAACAACTTAATTGCCTAAATTTAGAAATTGTGAAACTAGATAGGCCTATTTTACAAGTCTACTGATCGAATTCCTTCATATAATTACTTCATTCTCAATTATTTTTATTGATACACAATATAAAGTAAGAAATACTTCCTCATTCCTATTTTACGCGTATTCTTTTTTTTTTGGATTGTCTCAAAATAAGTGTCATATTTTTATTTTTGGAAAAAGTATGTGAACCACAACATTTCAATTTATTATGTTTAAATTTTAATCACAACTTTTTCTTTTTCAATCATTTTATTACCACCCACGTTCCGTTCAATTGTTCTCATTGCAAAATGACACGATTATGTACATTGAGATATATTTGAAACTTACATAATATAATGAGTTATTGATGATAACTTTGATATTATAGATGTATTATTTTTATTATTTGATTATTAAATTTTTATTTTAATAGTTTTATTTTTTTTTCCTAAAATAGAAAATAAGAATCTATAGCTGAGACGATAAAAAAAAACCTAAGAATGCAACAAAGACAATAATAATAATACTAAATTAAAATAAAACACATAAAATACGGATGAAGTAACACTCTCTAAAATGTTTAGCCTGTTTTAGAAAAGGAAAAATTGACAAGAATAATCACACCTTTCATTGGTCTTCTCATAAAAATCTCACCTTTATGTAATCAAAGAATAATCCCACATTTGCACCACATCTTCTTTTGTTGGACACTGACATGTTAGCGACCTACTATACCGATTTTTTACCCTTTTTTGAAAACCTTATATAAATAACACCACCTTTCACAAATATGTTCAAAACGGCCCCATGTTTCATTTTTCTTTTTTCTCTCTAAAATTTTTCTTTCTTTATTTTCATCCCTAGACATTTTTTATTACTTTTTCTATCATTTTGTTCTTATTTCTTTTCCATTTTTATTATTCTATTTGTCACTCTATGAGGAGAGTTTTTTTTGTAAAGTTTCCCTTCAAAATAGCTCTTTTTGTCGTTTTCTTTTTCTTTCCATATTTTTATTTCATTTTCCTTTTTATGTGTATCTTCTTAATCAGTCTCTCGTTTTTTTCCGAAGGGGGCTTAATTTAATAAAATAGCATTCAGCAGGGGTACATGATAACAAAAGGACCACATGTAACCATCCGCCTTAGCCGAGACTCTGAGTTAATCACCTTTGACAAAACAATATAACTCGCTAGACCTAATTTGGGCAACATAAAGCCAATGACGATTATCGTAGACCTCTCATTCCCCAAACCTAATGCAAGAGTCTTACAACAAAGGAAAAAATAAAAGTAAAACAGAACAGTCTAACTATGGAAATTAAATAGCAAACAAACAATAAATTAAAATACTGCTTCCTAAACCCTCCTGCCTTCCATGGCGGTGGTTCAGGAGGGGGACGGTCCAACTAAACTGAAGCATCTTCTGCTGCTTCGTTCATGACTTTGTGATATCCACCATGAACGACATCCTCGAACCTCTCCACCAGCTGCTAGGGATACACAACCTTTGGCCATCAATCCTGCTCCGTCCATTCGCCTGAGTCCTAGCCGACACCAAGTCATGCTCCTTCTGTTCGTCTGAGTTCAAGCCGCGATCGAGACTGCCGCAACGAGAACCCATTCCTCTTCCTTCACTCGCCTTCACCACTCCGATAAGCACTGATCTTTGTAAAAACGAAATCGAATTCGAAACCCCAGCGGCCGTAACCCTAGAGAACGCCGAAGATTTTAGAGACAAGCTCCCGACTCCGTTCCAATTACTATTATTTTTTTAAATCAGTCTCTTCTTATTAAATATCTTATTTTAAAAGTGAAAATATAAAAGTGGAAAAGTGAAAATAAAAAGAAATCACAACAAAAATTAAAGTGAGAATTTTTTTAATAAGAAAAGAATGATTAAGAAGAAAAACATACGGAAAGAAAAAGAAACTTAAAAAAGACTTATTTTGAAAAGAAATTTTACAACAAAAAAATATCCTAAATCCTAATAGAGTAAGAAATAGAATAATAAAAATGAAAAAGAAATAAGAATAAAATGATAGAAAAAGGAATAAAATGTGTCTAGGAATGAAAATAAAGAAAGAAAATATTTTAGGGAGAAAAAAGAAAAAATAAAACATGGGACCGTTTTGAGCAGATTTGTGAAAGGTGAGATTATTTCTATAAGGTTTTTAAAGAAAGGATAAAAGAAACCTGATATAGTAGGCTATCAACAAGTAGGGGACCAATGAAAGAAGATAGAGTGAAAATGTGAGATTATTCTGAGATTATATAAAAATGAAATTATTAAAAGAAAACGAGTGAAATATGAAATTATTCTTCACAATTTTTCCAATAGAATGATACGCCTAAATAAGAGTACCAAACAACCTGTATGTTGATCCAAATAAAGAAAGGGGTAATATAGTCAATTGAGATTGCTGCTTTAAAAAACTGAGTTCAGAACTGGGGACATCATAGTCACCGTCCGGAAAGTAAACAGACAGTCGGAAATGGCGGAAGCAGGCGGCAGCGATCCTCAGAAGCCGACAACGATTACAGTGAATGTTAAATTCGCGGGAAGTTCGATTCCAGTGGATATCTCCGCCGACTCTACGGTCAAAGAGCTCAAGTCTCTCCTTCAGCCGCTCACTAATGTCCTCCCTCGCGGCCAAAAACTCATCTCTAAAGGTTTTACTCGTTCCTGGAGACAATAAAATATCCGCAGTGCATTGAATTTTTCCTCTCGTGTACGTAATTTCTTGTGCTTTTACGGATATAGGGAAAGTTCTTGTCGATGAAATGACACTTAGGTCCTCTGAAGTCAGCCATGGCTCAAAGATCATGCTCATGGCCTCCCAAGGTCTACACCAAGGGGTATCATACTATCACTCTTTTATTTCCCTTGTTAAAATTATTTATGACTCTAGAATTTTGTCAAAATTGATCATAGCTAGTTGCTGAATGTGTTAAAGTAAAACCAAGAATTGGAATTATGCTCTAGTATAATTGAATGATTAAGACATGGCTCTGGACTATGTTGCATGTTTCTCAGGACGGGCCAATCAGAAAGGAAACTTCCTCAGTGTCAACTGTAAGAAGGCAGCCTGATTCTGTGAAGCCTAAGAGGGGACAGCCTGAGGTTCCTGTTGAAAAGAGTCAGGTTGAACGATGGAAGGTTACAGGAGTGTTGGCATTATCGGAGTGTAATCTGAAGGTTATATGAGATTGCATTTCTTATCAACTTTTCTTGCTTTGATAGATCTATGTTGCCAGTTGAAGGGCTGAATCTTTTGTAACTTTTTATTGAATTCCTAACCTTTTCTTTTTTGGGGATCGGAAGGCCATCCCTGATGAAGTATGGGAATGTGGACCTTCTGCAAGATTTCTTGATCTGAATAGTAACTCCATAAAAGAAGTTCCTGCCAGAATTAGTCATTTAAGTTCTCTTCAGGTAAGTTTAGCTGTCTTTTGATAAGTTTTTGTTTTATCAACTTATGATCATGATCACATACACATGTAAAATAATTCTCAGAAACTGCTTCTTAATGCAAATGGCATTGAGGACAAATATTTAAGCTGGGAAGGGATAGAGTCTTTGAAGTCTTTGGTAGTTCTTTCTATGAATGAGAACAGGTTAGTTGCATCTATTCCATAGGAAGCGGTCCAGCCCAGCTGGTCGCCGACTCACTCTCCCTTATGGGAGGTCCCGGGTTCAATTCTCAATGGAGTGAGATTGATCCCAGTTTACCCAGGCCCCCAATACCCCTTCCCCTGACGCCCCCTGGGGTAAAAAAAAATTAAAATAATAATAATAATAATAATAATAATAATAATAATAATAATAATTGCATCTATTCCATAATGAGCTGATCTCCATTTTAATTGCCAAATATGCCCAAGAGATACCTCAGAGTCCTAACTCCTAATTACAAAAGGAAAAATATGTACTTGTTTATCACCATTAGTAAGTCCCTCCCTAACATCTCTTGGGGTTATGTTTGCTCCTTCATTTTCAGGCTCATTATAAGTTCATATGCAATTTAACAGTTTCTCATAGTATTAATTCTGTAGCTGCTTTAAATATCCTACTTTGGGACAACATTGATGTTGTCCACTTATATATAATGGCATGCACAGGTTAACAATCTTACCTTCCAACTTGGGCGCATTGACAAGCTTGAAGCAGCTTCATATTGCCAATAACAAGTTGACTTCTCTCCCAGTCGAGATTGGTTTTTTAACACAACTTGAGGTTTTGAAGGCCAACAATAACAGGTATCGCAACGTGGAAAATTCATTTTCTGTTTTTCCATTATATTTTCATCTCTCTTTTTCTATTTAGTTTAAAAAACATATTTTTGTGTCTTAACTCTTAAGGTTGCGTAAGGGTTTAGTTTTGCTAATGCATATATTGGCAAGCCACAATATGTGTGTCTTCCACTTCACTGCCTGCAAATATCATATGTTGCTCTTAGGATGCAGTTGGGAGTGTGATTCCAATTGCACTGTTTCAACTGAACACTCAACCTTCCAATTGAAAGTTTAGCATTTGGAATGGTGTACTGCTTTATTTGCTTCAATCACAATTCATCTAAAACACCTTTTGTAGCTCGCTCCATTGGAGCAGTGGGCTGCTCCTGTTCAAAATGTACAGTTACTTTTCTTTCCGTTTCTTTTATTGAAATGGAAAATCGCTGCCCTAGAGTATCTTAAGTCTTAACAGTGGAATTTTTTGGGCATTGCAGGTTAAGCACTATTCCGACTAACATATGTGGGTGTTCTTCTCTTGTTGAAGTATGACTTCCCATCACACTCCATTAATCTATCTTATTGAGTTATTTACATGTTGAGACTTTGCATATTATATTGAGACTTTGCATATTGTCTGGAAGACGCACAACCTTGTGCTTCAGTGTTCTATTATATCGTGTAGCTACAGGTATGTGACTAACTGCCAACTTTTGATACAGGTTGATATTTCATCTAATCTTCTGACTGAGTTACCTGATACCCTTGGCAAGCTGAAGAATTTGAAGGTCGATATATATTATTTGCATTTGTTTACTTTGTCTCTAATTATTTTGGTGCAGCCTCTGAGGGATGGATGATATTTAATTTAATGGTTGCACACGCAGTAGCAGTAGTACAGCAATACCACTCAGACAATTTTTCCAAGTACAATTAGCATTAGAAGCTCGTCTATCACATGTAGAGAGCCCTGTCCTCTACATGTGGAATGACTTCTTATTCCTGAGAAAAAGGGAATACCCAGGAAAACAAATTCACTTCGCAGGAAACTAAATATTCGCCCCCACCCCCCTAGAACTTGAGTCCCAAAATTTGATAGAAAGTATGGCCACTTTCTAGAGAACGTGAACATTATTAAGAAATCATGATTTCAAGTACGAGAAAGACATGGGCCATGTGCACAAGTTAGGAGTAACCTTGTATCATGTAAAAAATTGGACTCAGGACTCATTCTGTCCTCAAAGAGGAAAGACTGAGTAGTTAATAATAAATCTTTTGGGAGTGGATTGGTCTTTTTTAGAGAAGAAAAAACAAGGGTGATTCTATGTGAACTTTGAAGAAATGTTTTCTCCATTAGTCCTATCTATGGAATTTTTTCATTGTTGCTGGTTCAGGGGAGGATGCTAAACTCTTTTTTTTTTTTTTTACAAAAGGAAAGTAATACTTTCTAACCTAACCAATTGCACGGAATCAGGGTATTCCTGGTGTCAATATTCATGAAATAATGTTGGAATCACAAACACGTATGTCACAGGTTTTGCTGGATCGGGCGAATTGTCGGCATTACAAATGCAGTTTTATTTAACTCAGTAATTCAGATTAGTAATTTAGTTCCGACCGCCAAACAGTTTTATCTATTACTCTGCAGGGATTGCATCTCAGAAACAACGGGCTCAAATCTCTTCCCACTACTATATTCAGACTTTGTAATCAACTCTGCACATTGGATCTCCATGGTACTGAAATAACGATTGATTATCTCCGTCAACTAGACGGTTGGAATGAATTTGATGAGAGACGGATGTTAAAGCATCAAAAGCAGCTGGATTTCAGAGTGAGTAGTTCAGGCAAATTTGATGAAGGTGCTGATAAAAACTGAAGAGTTATATATACTCAATGGCTGAAAGTCGCTACTACCGCATTGAAATTAAAACATACGTAGTATGTGATTGTTCTTCCTTTGAAACAATTTTCAAAAATTCATTGAAGCTTATGAGGTTTGCAGAGCTACAATGGCGCTCACAGAACTATGTTACTAAGCAGGCGATTTATTAAAATTTGGCTGGAGTAGTTTAATGGGTTGTAATTAATATTTGAAGTAGTGTATATTTTATTAATAGAATTTAGAAAAGATTACATGAAAAATAGTTATAATAATCTTCTAAAGTAACTCCAACCGATTCAGCCAGAAAAGTAATTATAACCTTACTTATATTACATGATTCAGCATGCGACGTCAAAAATTGCATTTTTTTTTATAAAAACAGTTGATTGATAAGTCTGATAAGTTGAAAATAAGGGTTACCAAACAAACTCTAAAATCATCAATCAAACTCTTTAAATGGTAAAAAACACCCAATTCAAAATTAGATGGTTACTTGCATGTTTTCTGGTTACCATTGATGTTGCAGCCCATGTTCATTCTTTTTATCTATTTTAAATTCCATGTGGTACTCTTTCATTTATTTCATGTAATGAAAAATGAAGTTGTCCCTTGACCATTTTTTCCTTGGACCATTCACCAAATCTCACAAATTTCCCAAATCGATCACCTCCTGCCTCCTCTGGAACTACCCGTTCCACCCTAGCAAGCTTAGCTCCACAGGACCACAACCACTATGTTGCAGGCGACATCTTCGGCATTATCGTACAATGATGAATGTTTCGAGCTCTTCTCAATCAAGCCCATACAATACACCTCCCTAGGGGCGGAGGTATATATGGGAAGTATTTGTGGAAGAGTACTCTTATCTCCTTATTTAAGAATAAGGGCAAGCACAATGATGTGTCCAACTATCAAGAGATTAAGATTATGAATCATACCATGGAATTTTGATAACAAGTGATTGAACAAAGGTTATGAAGAAGTATAAAGATATAAATAATGACTTGCATTCGGTGCTCATTGACTTTGAAAAAATGTATATATCATGTGAGGATATCAACGTCATTATGAATAATTGAATATGTATGGAGATTCTACTATGAAAGCTCGTCATACTAGTTTTTGAAGAACTTATTTGACTATTTAGCTACCACCACATCAAAGTTGAACTTGAAGTTTAAATGTTAAAATGAAACTTTGCTCTTCTTAGCTAGTTCAGTGTACAAATTGCACATTTATTTAGTTGATGGGTCGAATTGAGAAAGAGGTATATGGACTTATTTGGTCACTTATTTAGTTTGTTAAATAGTTGTAGTAAACTAGTAATAGACCTGTATTATGATATATAATACCTGTCTATTATATAATACCTGTATTATTTAGTTTGTTAAATAGTTGTAGTAAACTAGTAATAAACCTATATTATGATATATAATTGGACTAGACAATTCAACCCGGAACCTGGCCACCTACCCGTAAAACTGGAAATAATATGCGGTCATCCTAAGCCGGACCGGACCAGAACCTTGGAAACTCGGAAACCAAGAGATTTTTCTAAACTTTTTTTTTCATATTAAAAAAACTTCGTTGTAGTACTAGTGTACTACAAAATAACATCAGGTGAAACCCTTCATTTTCTGACCATAATAACAACAATAATCGGGCTGTCCATTTCAATTTCAGCCCATTTAAAGTCTATACATCGGCCTGTATAAACACTAGCCCAGTGACCCAGTCTATTTGTTTTTCTCCGGTCTCCTTCCTCGCCTTGAATTGGTGATTGCACGCCCTCTCTTTTTTGTTTTGTTCTCAAAGAAAAAAGCACACTTAGGTTAGCTTTTATATTTGATACTAGTATAGTACCCGTGCATACGCACGGGAAAGAGCAATGGGTACATATATATTTACTCATGATCTAATCAAATATTAAAATAAAGGAAAAATTCACATTAATAATCCTAAGTATTGATGTTCTTCTAACATTAATCCCGAGTAATTCGAAAATAATCCCAAAATTATATGGCATCTTCTCTGGTTAGTCCAGGTGACCTACAACTTACTCAACAGGTTAAAACAATAAAATGGAAAAGCAAAAAAGCTGAATAGATACTACGTACGGAGTATATTCTTTTGACCGGCTCCTTCACACTTTATTCATCTTCACAAACACTTTCTAATAGCGTTTCTCCTCTTTTTTCTTTTTATTATTTTCTGAATCTACTAGATATGGCCGTCGCCGAAGAGAAAGCGTGGCAACAGATCCACTGTTTCAGTTGTCTTCTCCGATCATAACCCGGCAAGAAACGCACAGCGCTGGCGATACCACCTATTTTCTTTTCTTTTCTTCTGTGCTATCTTTATCATGTTCCCCCCTTAGTTCATCCTCTCTTTCTTCGTTTTGGTATTCTTTTTCTTTTCCCCTCTTGTTTCAATTGACGCCTGTTGGGTCTGGATTGGAACTAATTCACAAAGCTTAAATGAACGGATGAGGATAAAATTAGTTGCAGAAGTTTTTGGATCTATATTCATTGTTTTCTGTGTTGCTGTAAGGCTCTCTCTCAGCAAGTTGTTAAACAGTCACTCCATTTTTGTGGCCAGAAGGGGTTTTGATCTTCTGGCGGAGATGAATAGGGAGGGGGCAGGAATAAACGGACGTGGAAGATGGAAAGAAACGAAAGAAAGAGAAATAAGCAAAGAAAATAGAAAGGAAAATTTATTATAATTGAAATCCAATAGAAATAGGACAAGTGTTCAGGTGACCTGCTAAATAGGTTTATGCAGGTCACTAGTTTGTTTTGAGAAGATACCTCTTATAATTTAGATTATATTGGAATAACTAATATTTGGGATTAATAATGGAAGACCGCGAATAGTTGGGATTATTTATGTGAATTTTTCCTAAAATAAAATAACTTTTGATATTAGTACCTAAAAGCGCTACATATGAGATAAAAAATTGTTCCGCTCACTTATTAGCTAGTCCGCTTATCTTATACCTAGAAGTGCTACATATGAGAAAATATTCTTCCGCTCAATTTTTAGTCTACTTATCTTCTTATACCTACAACTATTACGTATGAGACAGAAAATTTCCCCGTTCAATTATTAGTTTGCGCATCTTATACCTAAAATGACACCATATGAGAGAGAAAACTCTATCGCTCAATTATTAGTGCGCTTATCTTATACAGTTATACCTAAAAGTACTACATATGAGAGGAATTTTCTTCCGTTCAATTATTAGTTCGCTTATCTTTTACCTAAAAACACTACAAATGAGAGAAAATACTCTCTCTCACTTATTAGTACGCTTTTCTTATAACTGAAATTACTACATATATATATGAGAGAGAAAATTATTCTCCACAATAATTATTCCGCTTATCTTATATGTAATCTTAAGTAAAAGCACTACATATGACAGAGAAAATTTTCTCGCTTAAATATAAGTCCGCTTATCTTATACCTAAAAGCACTACATATGAGAGAGAACATTTTCCTACTCAATTATTAATCTGCTTATCTTATATCTAAAAGCACTACATATGTGAGAAGAAAATCTTCCACTTAGTTTTTAGTCTGTTTACCTTATACCTAAAAGCACTACATATGAGAAAGAAAATTCTCCTACTCAATTATTAGTTTGCTTATCTTATCTTATACTTCGTATGAAATATATAAAAGTATTACATAGGAGAAAAAATTATTTCACTCAATTATTAGTTTTTTTTTCTCATAAAAATCTTATGAGAGCTACAGTGTACACCCGGTTCTACAGTGTTCAACGTACAACCACATATTTCATGTTATGCTTAATGAGTATAATGTTTTTTTGGATAATTAATGAGTATAATGTTGAAAAAAAATAATGCTATTGGTGTTAAATCACTGTATTGGTAGCACAATTGATAATTAGAAACATGTCATTGAGTATCATGATCTACACGTGATATATATGCTACAAATAATTTTTTTTAAATCCAAGGGGCGTCTAGGGGAGGGACTGCCCCCCAGAGTAATCAGGGGTGAAACCCACTCAATTGAGTTTCAAAGCCAAGAACTCCCGTAAGGGAGAGTGAGTCGGTGACCAGCTGAGCTACAAATAAACCTATTCATTTAACTATATTATCATTGTATTATCATCAAAATATTTATTGTAGTGATTTTATAATTTAATTTATTATCAATACTCATTTTGTTAGAATTTTAAGCCCATTTATTTAACATAAAATACTCAGTTGTACTCTGTGAACATTACAACCGGCTTGTACAGTATATTTTGCCCTTATCTTATATCTAAAACCATTATATATGACTTATTAGAGAGAGAAAATTATCCGGCTCACTTATTTGTTTGTTTATCCTATGCCTAAAATCACTACATATGAGACAGAAAATTATCCCGCCGAGCTATTACTCAACTTATCTCATCTCATACCTAAAATTATCTTACACCCAAAAACAATATTTAAGAGGTAAAATTCATCCGCTCAATTATTAGTCCGTTTATCTTATATACTTAAAATCACTATATATGAGAGATGAAATTCTATTCTTCAGATATTAGTCAGCTCATCTTATATCCAAACTCATCTTATATCTAAAAGCAGTATATGTGATAGATAAAAATTTTACGCTCAATTATTAGTCCAATTATTTTACACCTAAAAGCACTACATATGAGAGAGAGAAGTTTATGGCTCAATTATTAGTCCACTTAGCTCATACTTCCTCTGTTTTTAGGTGCAACATTCTCATTTTCACGTTTGCCACCACACAACTTTGACCGTCATTATATTAAATTCAATATTTTTTTTAAATTTTGAGAATGTAAATTTGCAATGTTATACCTAAAAGCACTGCAAATGAGAGAGAAAAATGTCTCATTCAATTATTCGTCCGTTTAGGTATACCTAGTATCTAAAAAGTACTACGTATGAGAGACAAAATTATCGCGGTCACTTATTAGCCCGCTTAACTTATACCTGAGAGCATGACATATGAGGAAAAGTTCTCGCACTCAATTATTAGTCTATTTAGCTTACGAAATACCGTGTGGACGTTACAACCGGTTTGTACGATATATTTTGCCATTAGCTTATACCTAAAAGCATTACATATGACTCATATGAGAGAGAAAATTACCACGCTTGCTTATTAGTTACTTATCTTATCTTATACCTAAAATCAATACCTAAAATTTCTCCCGCCTAGCTATTACTCAACTTATTTCATCCCATACCTAAAATTATCTTACACCTAAAAACAATATATATGAGAGATAAAAATTCACCTGCTCAATTTTTAGTCCGTTTATCTTATATACCTAAAAGAACTATATATGAGAGAATAAAATCTATCGCTCACTTATTAGTCCGCTTATGCATCTTATATCTAAAAGCAGTATATGTGATAGAGAAAATTTTTCCACTCAATTATTAGTCCACTAATTTTATACCTAAAAGCATCACATATGAGAGAAAAATTCTCTCGCTCAATTATTAGTCACCTAGCTTATACTTCCTCCATTTTTTTAGTTGCAATATTCTCATTTTCACGTTTGTCACCGCACACTTTGACCGTCATTATCTTAATTTCACTATTACTACGCATTATTTTTTTAAAATTTTGAGAATGCATATTTGTAAAAAAAAATCACTATTAATTTGTTTTGAAATTAGAATTACTATTTTTTCTCATTTTTCCTTTTTATAGCTGAATGCTACGTGAAACCAAAAAACTAAATGTTACGTATGTAAGTAAATAACAAATTAAATATTGAACATATAGTATACGGAGAATTACATAGAACTGTACAAATAAGTAATTATATGAAGTATCAGTGTCATATAAAAGAAGAAAAGATAATAAAAAGTTATTAATTTGAATACTTTTTTGGAAACAGTAGAATGCAAACAAAAAAGTTATATCACTTTAAAAATAGAGAGAATTTTCTCATCTGAATTGGAGAGAGAAATTTTTTATAGACTTTCAAAAAAGTGAGAATTTTATCATCTAAATTGTCTATGTGTACGCTTTTATAATCACTTTGATATAATTTTAGACATAATTATAGTCACTAAAAATTAATAAGTCATATCATTATTCATTATTCATATTTTGTACATATATTGGGAATTTTATAGTTTTGTAATACGGAATATTCTGCATAGAGGATGGAAAATAGAAAGTTGCTTAATAAATCTCCAGATTTTGTTAAAAAAGTTTATGTATGCATTATTGGTGTAATATGAAAGATCGTAAAAAATTATGAATTTTGATATATTTTTTATAAAAATTAGAGAAAAACTGAAAAAGTTACAACACTTTAAAAAAAAGGAAATTTTTATACAATGGGCCCCATTAATTAATTGATGCCACGTTTTTTAATTGAAATAAAAATCCTCACCTTCGTTGATTAGCCATTAGTGTTGGTATTTTCCGTTTAATTCCTTGAGTTGGCCACGTGGACTTTTGTAGAGCAAAGGAGAAAATTTTGGAGAGAAAGACAGGATTTATTAAGGATATAATTGTCATTTAATGAGCTAGTTATTTTCTTATATATAATAAATAGACTACTACCTCTGTCCCTGAATTTACTTCATCATATAGTGGCACGCGGATTAATCGTATTTAATCTTATTTAAATATTTGACGAGGCAGTATATGTTTAGTACTTTAGTTCTCTTTTTTAATCTTATTTTATTTATGGCGGTATATTATACTGATAAACTTTTAAAATACAAACAGACGTATATTTTGATTTTGGTTATTTAACATTTGTCAATATATTGAAGTTTGTGAATGATTGCATAATTGATGCTGAAATCTTAAGCCTTTGGTATCACATAAGCGAGCTCAACATTTGCAGGAATCCATTCTATCTTACCGCAGCAACAATGGTGTACGGCTATCTTGTAAGGTGACAACTCCGGTACCCTTTTAAAATTTGAGGTACCGTACCTACCATGCATTTGATTGATCTAAATCTTATTCCTTTTAATTTAGATTTAATTAATTCAACTGCATCATTCCTATTCCTATTGGTTCATGTGGATAAAGGTATGGTACCTTAAGAGTACCATAGAATCTACCATCTTGTAATTAAACTACTTGTCTATGTGGTTGAATTGCCTAAACAAACAAACTTCCTGAAAATTTATCTTATTTGGGCTAGTTGAATATGATCCAGTATCAATCATCCTCTCAAGTTCATTGGTATCTTCCCTTCTTTCTATATACCCTTACATGTTTACTTCAAATTTGCACTTAGAGTTTCAATAGAATCACAATTTTGTCATCAAAGGAAGGTATAATGAATTACAATTTAACCTACATTTATGTGGAGTTTGTGATATTTGAAGTTCAATTTAAATTAAATTTCAGAGGCACATTTTACGTTGATTTGTTTAAATTAAACTACGTAGTTAAGAATTGCAGTTCAATTATAGTTTTGATATACAAAATTCAGTTTAATTGAATGTTTTATGAACTTATGAAATGTTTCAGAAGTATTTGTTATTCAGGGAATATTTACTTGTTAACTTACGCAAGTCGTTTTTTTACTTAAACAAAATTATTATTTCTGAACCATGAATTCATGATAGATTGGTATCACGTTTAAAAGTGTTTTAACTAATGTATTTTATGTTTGTTGCTTAAGTGTTACATGGTGACTCAAAGTGGGTTAAAAAGAGGATGCTTAATTAATGCACTACACATCATCTTCCATATAAGCTATCATATACGTCGTATTTGTTTCTCTTCACTCAGGTAGAAGAGACTGTACTTTGCTGATTTTTGCTAATCTTAATATATGGACATTGATTTTAAATCATCTGAGGAAAAAGAGGTCACTATGGAAACGGAAAGCAAGGTACCACTGTTTGAGTATCATGCTCTTTTTAAGTCTTCATTTTTTTAAATTTCTTCCCAAAATGTACACATTTCCACTAGTTGCGAACTCTTATGGTTTGGTGCTCTTTATAATAGGGCACGAAGAAGGTTGACATTTCCAATTCAATGGAAAAGCTTCAAATTGAGGGGAATTCATCTAAATTCAATAGAAAGCCAGTTATCATCATTGTGGTTGGAATGGCAGGTAAGTCTACCGCATTGGGGTTTTCAACCCAGTTAAAAATATATCTTTGCTTTTATTATTATATAAGAGCAGGTAATTAATGTAATTCTGCTGGACATTTGCAAGAATATATCTACATTATTTATTTTATTCTTGTAATATACAATGATTGCAAATGTCTGCAGTACAATCATGATTTTCATTTACTTCGTAATATTTAAGGATTCAAATTGTACATTTCTTAACTAGGAAGTGGGAAAACTACATTTCTTCATCGACTTGTATGTCACCTTGATCCTGCTGTAATGACCCTTCCATTTGGAGCGAATATTGATATAAGAGACACAGTTCGCTACAAGGAGGTTATGAAACATTCAACCTAGGTCCTAATGGAGGAATCCTTACTTCTCTAAACTTGTTCGCTACAAAGTTTGATGAGGTGAACCTTTTTCTTTTTGTTCTTTCAATTTTGACCAAATTTAAACGAGTCTGTTCCTTTCTTTTCATGTTGTTCCTGCCCTTTGTCCATTTTCTCTTTTACAAGATTATTTTATTATAAAGCCTTTTTTGTAAGTGTTTCTTGTATATATGTTGTATCAGTTTATTATACTTGGTTTAAAGTTGGTACATATAAACTGAAATCCCATCTCTCGCAAAGAATGTCCACGATGTCACAACATTGCTACAAAGAAATAGCACAAAAAATCTATTTTTTTAAAGACACCATTTTCAATCACATTATCTCATACGTAGTAAAAAAATTGGAAGCCAAAGGTATTAGAAACGCTTATTATTTAGGGAATCGGGTTTCCGAAATCTTCTTAATTATAGAGACGGGCCTGGAATAAGAATTTGAAGTTTCTGAGTTCCCGAAATGGGGAAACATAAGTCACAAGAAGTATCCATGCTTCATAGCTTTTCATAGTAAAAGGGTTCTAGAGAGGCCCATTGAAGAAAAATATTAAGGGACAGACACCTTTTTTATGCAATTATGACACACCTATGACCTATGTGACCAGGGGCGGAGCCAGACTTCACTACATGGGGATATAATGCAAGTATTAAAATGTAAAGGAAAATTTGCAAATTTTGTCCCACAAATTTACTTTGTGCCCATTTTTGTCTTGATACTTCACTTGCTCGAAAATTTGGTCATTTAATTAATAATTTTTTCAATTTAAGTACTTCCCCACTCGAAAGTACATTTTCCTACAGATATTTCACCGCAAAATATGCCGCCAATGTTGAATTTTTCTGCAGAAAATGTACTTTCCGGTGAAAATTTCTTAAACTGCAAAGACCTATTAGTTAGAGGACCTAATCATGCAAGTAAAGTTACAAAACTAATAGTGGGGACAACCAAAAGTTACAGGACCATAATTGCAAATCTGTAAAAGATAAAATTTAAAATATAAAATCTAGAAATATAGAGACTTACATCTTGCCTAATTGCTTTCATAATTTAATTTGGGGGGGAGGGGGCAAATAATTTCTATTTCTAATAGTAATACTTCAGAAAAATTAAAGTCATATAGGTCAGATAGCTCTTCTATTGTTGATTAAGTTGTAAAACTATATCGCCTATAGGTCATATTCATCCTTGTTATTATTAATATTTCTTGGCGGTAATTGCGTTGACGGTATGACTTGTGAATGGGAACACTAATTTGTTTGACATTTCATTTAATATATAAAAATATACATTAAAAGAGAGTTGGGTACTTGGGGTGACGGTATGAATAGTAAATGGGGACACTAATTTGTACTAGAGGGAGTACATTCATTAAAAGAGTTTGAGCAAATGTCTAAAAGTGATTAATTGATTTTGAAACCATTTTTTCCCACTCCATAATGCTTTCTTCCAAATTTTCCCAATATTTTCCTCCCTGTTTTCAATCTCTAGCTTTCTCCATGTTAACTGTACCCTATGTGATTGTGAGAATTACTTACCCACCTTTTAATGTTTGTTGTTCTTGAGTGACTATGAGATCATGTCTCTTAAAAAATTGCAGGTAATATCAGTCATAGAAAAACGGGCAGACCAACTGGACTATGTTCTCATTGACACACCTGGTCAGATAGAGATCTTTACATGGTCTGCTTCTGGTGCAATTATCACAGAAGCTTTTGCATCTACCTTCCTTACTGTTGTAACATATGTTGTTGATACCCCACGATCTGCTAGTCCTGCCACTTTTATGAGCAACATGCTTTATGCATGCAGTATCCTATATACAAAACACGACTGCCTCTCGTATTGGCCTTCAACAAAACAGACGTAGCACAACATCAATTTGCTTTGGAGGTATAGCTAAACTTTGATTTGTTTTTTTTTTGTTCAAAGTTTTTGGAGAGGAGGGTAGAAAGTGAGTTGTGTGTAGTTGGTTTGGGGAGTTAGAGGAAGGAGATAAAAGCGGAAGGGCTTTAAACAAGGTTCGAAATTGTGTATTGCGTAGTTGTGGCATTTTTTAGGATTGCATAATGTGTAAACCTCATTATGTAATGAGACATATGTCTGAGACGTAAAATTGTATGTGTATATATATGTATATGCATAAATATAAATAGAATAAAAGTTGAAGAAATTTAATATTAACAGAAAACTAAAAGAATATAAGATCATACACGGAGTAAGCTAAAACAAAATCTTTGATGCATTGAAAACGTGGAAAGATATCATTAGTCAAGATTATTTAAAGGGGATATATGTATATAATACAGGTCATACTTTATCTTTAGTAAAAAGTAAAGAAACCTTAGTTGCAATGTTGCATTGGAAGCCTGAAACCCGCCTGATTGCAATATCCATCTTGTTACAAAAATGATAATTGCTCAAAAATATGCAATTTAACCCAAAACCCTTCAAAAAATTTGGAAATTGAAGTGCTAAATAGGGTCCTATTGGAGATCCTTCCTTTGTATTCTGAGGTGGAGTTGCTACAGGAACTGTTCAGATTAGGTGGAGGGTTAAGTTACTTAACGAATGGTACACAATTACTTTGATTACATTTTGAGGTGGATTAGTGATCCTGCCTTATCATTATGTGAGCTTAGTGGATGGAGGATTTTGAAGCATTTCATGCAGCACTTGAGTCAGACGACTCTTACACTTCGACCCTTACAAGAATCTCAAGTCTGTTGGAGTCTCTGCAGTTTCCGGCACTGGGATTGATGAATTCTTCAATGCCATCAATGCAAGTGCTGAGGAGTACATGGAAACTTACAAGTATGTACTAAATGTACTCCGCTCTTCCGCTGTTTGTTCCATAATCTCCTCTTGTTTTGTGTTTTATGTCCTCCAAAAAAAATTAGTTTTGTATTCAAGTTTCATAATTATTAAACGTAATATCTGATTTAAAGATATAATTTGTTCTATATATTATGAAGATGAGTTAGTACACGGTTTCAGCTTCCTTGACTTGCAGTAGAGGCTAATACTCAATTAGGTCCTCAACTATGCAATTTGAACAAATTTAGCTTCTTATACAGTCGTGGTTCCTGTGTGTTCTTTCTTTTTAACTCTATATATGCTCTCTCTTGTTGTCTTGCCTTTCATATCCATGCAAGATCAAGACCCTGATGGAGGGATAATTCTTACATAATGTAATTCCTTTCCATTTATACACTAACCTACGGAAGTAAACATTCTATAGTGAATTAGCTAATGATATTCTATTCTTCTAAGATGAAGGGTATCAACATGATTCACTACATTTAGACCATGTTAACTGGACCTAATATAGTTACCCTTCAGAATAAATGACTGACAAACTGAGCATAGATTGCATACTGGAGGAGACCACACTGAGCCCAAAAGAATGTTGAAAGAACCTAATGTTATCCTCAGCCTACAAAATTACCCTTTAGACTGTTGGAGTTAGTGTTAGTATGACTGGGGTCTAGAATGAGTCTAAACTGCATAGTTGATGCCCAAATGGTGAAAGTTGAAAACCAAGGTGCGTTAATTTTTGAAGAAACTCAAATGTTTTATAAACAAATACAGCAAAACATACCTAAAATGCAAAAATAGGAGTTAATGTTTACAATTCCGTAAATAGGAGTAATAATTTGTGTTTGGACAAAAACACCCTTGTAGGGTTTGAAGCTATCACTTATTGCCATTTGACAGCCGCCAGTAGCAACAATCCTAAACTCTAACCCTAAACATTAGGGTATTTTTGTCCACACACAATATATTACTCCCGTTTAGGGAAATTAAAGCATGAACTCATAACCTCTTTTTTTGGCACTATCCTTATGCTTTACACCTATTTTAGGCAATTTCTAAATAAAAAACTTGTTTTAAAAAGCAATGAAATGAAGAAATTCATATTTCAACTACTTACATTTTATTTTATTGTTTTTTCTTGTTTTTCTTTATGGAATGGTTAACACTGAAAACAGAAGTGCAGAGAAGCAATAAAAAAATGGAATGATTGACACCTTAAAGCTATAAAAAAATGTTACTATTTTTATTTTATTTTATTTTGTGCTGTATCTTTATAGAGCCGAACTTGACAAGAGGCGGACGGAGAAGCAACGTCTGGAAGAAGAACGCAGGTTGGAGAACATTGAGAAATTGAGGAGAGACATGAACAGTTCAAGTGGAGAAACTGTTGTCTTGAACACTGGTTTAAAGGACAAACAAGGAAGAAGTAATAGCATGATGGAGGAAGATGATGGAGATGATGATGATGATCTCATAAGTGAAAATGATGAATAGGTTGCAAGTTTCCATTTTGAGAAGGTTAATGTGGTATTACATGTTTGTTTTCTTAGACAAACATGGTTCACTCACTTCACTGCGTGTATATATTACTGACATGATGAAACTGAACTGGACCAGCTGGTTTTTCTTTCCCCGGTAGAAGGCTATTTTTTAATGACGTTGGCGACTACTTCCTCCGTCCCACTTTGGTTATCATATTCCTTTTGATTGTCCCAAAATGAATGTCTTGTCTCATTTTTGCAAAAAATGTGATAAATATCATTTCACTTTATTTTATTCAAACATCAATCAATCTTTACTTTTCAACCACTTTATTAATACATTTGTTAAACTAAAACAAAACATCCAAGTTGGGACAGATGTATGTCTTAAAAAATTCTAATCGAACATTGAACACTGCAGTATGTGTGTGTGTGAGTGTGTGCACATGTGTGTGCGCGCGCGTGTGCGTGTGTGTCAGGACATTTTGCTACTTGTCAGTTGTCATATCAAGTGATGCATATGCAACTATTTCAAACTTGCATATTGTCTTGCACTTCAATACATCTGTTATTATCTGTAAAGGCTAAAATAAGCATTCGACTGCAAGAGGGAATACTGTCAATTTTTTCTGACAAATTGATATTGGCTGACTCCTCAAAATAGTTTGAAACTCCTCAAACTATTATTCCAGACAGTGATAAATGTGTACACCACCCTTGCAAGAACTTGAATATTGTTCAAGAATCAAGTTCACCATTTTTGGTGTGGTACATCGGAAATAAGGATGGACCGGTTCCGGTCGGCCCGGCCCGCCATTGTGCGGGCCCGGCCCGGTGAACCGGGCCCGGTTCCGGAATTAGGCCCGACCGGAGGGAGTAGCCGGGGGCGGTTCTGGGACTTGTAAAATGTGAACCGGCCCGGCCCGCGCCTTATTATTTTTTGTTTTGTTTTTGTTTTTTCGGGTTTGGGCTGGGTTTAGGTGGGCTGGGTTGGGCTGGGTGTATCCGAGGGGTTTGTGGGGTGGGGAATGGGGGTGGGGGTTGGAATAAATAAGAAAACTCCAAAAATAAGAACGGAACCGGTAGACTCCCGGGCCGGTCCCAGGCCTTCCCCAAAAACATCCAAGCCCGGTTGGGCCCAGGCCCGAACCGGAACCGGACCAGGCCCGGTCCATCCCTAATCGGAAAGGAGATTAAAAAAAGTTCTCCAACTATTCGACACTATATTTACATTAATTTTTATTCAAAACAATTGCACGCTATTACTTTTATTAATATAGTTTGTATTCCTTTGAAATTAAAGAAATTTGAACCAAACTAATATCATATATAGTTACTATAATTAATAGTGATCAGTTGATCACTACGACCATTAATATGGTCATTGCATCATTGGCTGTAGCTCAAGTGATTTAAATCCATAAGAGTGAAACTTTAGTCTTTGAAAAGAAAAAATGACCAAAATAATACGTGAGGCTTTCTATTAGACAAAAATAAGTCGTGTTCTCAATTTGGACAAAAAGGAGATTTAACTTTACAAACTGGACCGAAATACCCTTAATTACCCTATCCTTAATTCATTCTCCCAGTTGTCCGTCAATTCCTTCGTTTTCAAATCTTCCTCTCCAGCAACGCACCTTCATCGCCCTAAGCCAGAGCCGCACCTCCTTTGCCGCTAGGGGTGTGCACGGGTCGGGTTCGGGCGGGTCGGGTTTGCGAGCCCTAAACCCGTTCGGGTTTTTTAATTTAAATACTAGGCCCGACCCTTTGATATTTCAAATCGGGTATTTCGGATATTTTCAAGTCGGATATTATCGGATATCGGGTCGGGTTTCGGATATTTCGGTTATATTAAAAAAATTATAATTGGATAATTAAAGTGTTTAAATGCCACTTTGACAAAAATTGTATACACTAGTGCACTAAACTTCCAAATTACACAAATAATTTAACACAAATTGCACAAATACTTACACAAATAATTGAACACAAGTATTAATTTAACATATTCAAAGTACACACTACGTAATTTAATATATTTCGGATATTTTGGTTATATCAAAACACATTATAATTGGATAGTTAATTAACGTGTTGGAATGCCACTTTAACAAAAATTGTATACACACTAGTTCACTACACATTCAATTTACACAAATAATTTAATACAAATTACACAAATAATTACACAAATAATTGAACACAAGTATTAATTTAAATATTCAAAGTACACACTAACATATATTTCGGATATTCGGGCGGGTCGGGTTGGGATTTCACAAACCCTACCCGCCACCCGGTCTAGGCCCAATACTAATCGGATATTCGGTTTCGGGTTTTTCGGGTCGGATATCCACTTCGGTTCGGATAATATCCGAAAAAAATATCGGGTTTTTCGGGTCGGATCGGGTTTTGCTCAGCCCTATTTGCCGCAAGCCATGGCCAAATCACGATCGCCGCAAGACATAGGCAAACCACCATCGCCCATCGCTGCAACGCCTCCATCATCGTGATTGTTCGACCGCCGCACCTCCATCACCAAAGATACTTCTCTGCTTTTGAGATTGATATTTTCTTTTGATATGCTATTGAGATGACGATCCGGTGGGCTAGCGTTTCAATGACGTGCGATTTCGGTCCCAGGGGGACGGTGATGGGCTGGCGGCTAGGGTTACGGGCGGTGGTGGTGGAATGGCGGTTGAGGGTTGGGGGCTGAGGCTGGGGGTCGAGGCTGTGGCAGGTTGGGCTGATGGGGATGGGGCAGGGCTTGTAGAGGAGTGGCATGGCTAGGCTGATGGGTAGCAGGGCAGCAGAGCTAGGGTGATGGAGGCAGGGCAGGGCTGTTGTGACGGTGGTGGGGCAGGGCTGTGCGTGTGGTGGTGGAGCTGGCGGCATCTGCCCATATTGGGGCGGTGACGGTCAGTGGTGGTCACCGAAATCACTATTGATGATAGTGACTATTGAGGCGGCGAGGGTGAGTGTATTTGGAGGCAACAATTCATTGTCAATAGGTCACTGGATGGCGGGTCAATGGCGAAGGCGTCGGTGACATGTAAATGTCACTAGCGAATTGATAGTGACTTGCTGGAGCGGTAGTAACTGGGACGGTGATCACTGGAACAGTAATTACTGGGACGATAGTCACTGGAACAGTAGTAACTGAGACCGTCATCACTAGAGCGGTGGTAACTGGAACGGGCTAATCACTGGGATTGTAGGCCATCGGGGAAAAAATGGATAAATAAAAGTAGTTGAGTTGAGTAACTGTAACTGGTAAAATTGGATAATGGTAAAATTGGATAAATAAAAGTAGTAGAGTTGAGTAATTGTGATTGGCTAGTTCACGTGACTAACGAGAAGGGTGGATATTGGTCAATAGACAAACGGATGATTGGTACTAATCGGGCGGAATCAATGTGTTATTGGGTGAAATTTTTGGTAACTAATGATTCTTGGTCACTAATGATTTTCTGTCACTGGTGCATTTTGGTTTTTTAGTCACTAACGATTTTGGTCACTGGTGAATTTTGGATTTTTTAGTCACTAACGATTTTTGGTCACTGGTGAATTTTGGATTTTTAGTCACTAATGATTTTTGGTCACTGTGGTGATATTGGTCACTGTGACGTTACTGTAGCACTAATAGGGGTAAAGTAGTCTCCTACACTCTTTTTAGTCTCATTTTTGGAATTTGAGGAAAAAGTTCACTTTTTTGTCCACAACCAGTTTTTTAGTAATATTTTAGACATAACCCCAGGCTTGCTGCTTGCCGATTTGCAGGCCCCTAATCGATAGTACTAATACTTAGCATCTTTTATGTGGAGGCCCCCATGGCAAGTGAGGCCCAAGGCAGTTGCCTTGGTGAACTGGCCCCAAAGCCGCCTCTGGGTGCACACGTGCCATATGAGATAGCCACATAAATATTAGTAAATTAATTCTTTCTCTCCTTATTTAAATGATTTTATACAGTATTGGTAAGTTTTTCTCCACAATGTCAAGGAGACCGTCTAGATGTTGACATTGTTGTTGACATTGCAGAGAAAAACTTACCAAAATTGAATAAAATCATTCAAATAAGGAGAAGGATAATTTATTTGCTAATATTTATGTGGCTATCAATCATGCCACATGTGCACCGTGCACATTATAGCATTGAAGATGCTCTAAGAGTGAGGCAGGATAGGATCACGAAGTGGGAGTCTCAAAAGGAACCACCTACCATAGCCAGCAACTCTTCTAGCCTGTTGACATTCCAAATTCAGTATGATCAGTTTGCAATCCATTAAAAAAAGTGTTTTTAACTTTTTTTTTTAAAGAAAAAAGCACTTATTTTACCAAACACTACCAACTTTTACTTTCTCGGCTTCCGTGAAGAATCTACTTTTTACTTTTTCTATTACACAAAAAAACTTATTTACCAAACACTACCAACTTTTACTAGTAATCACTTTTTCCCCAAAAGTGCTTTTATTTAAGCACAAGTGGTTGCAAACAAAGCCGTAATATTGTGCCTCATAAGGTGCTTGTAAAGAAGTGCATCCAAGTATCCAACGTATAACTTTGTCACTCCTATTTTGGATTGATTTATAGTCTTAACTAATTTAAGATAACTACTTTCACGATAAACTTAATAGGAATCATATAGTTTAGAGCTCGCAGTATTGACTATTGAGTCAAATTAAGAAACAAATTTACCCCTTCATAGTTAACAAGGAGGGCCTTTTGAAGAGGGTTTGAATCAGCAGTTTTATAGTAGCCTCCAAGTATTTTAGAACTACCTCTCTGTAATCCCGTAAGGATCTGAAGGCGAGAAACCAACACTGTCACTAAAATATGGATGGTTCTGATCAACTTTTAGTCTCAATTCAACAGCAATACCGGGTTCTTCGAGACCATCTACCAAGTCGGTTAAGACTTCACCACCACCGACTTTTCCAGAGGTTTTCAGCCTTTCGCCAATGCAATCTTATTAAGTAGCTTAAGCTGCAAGAATGGAGGGAGTCCAGTACTAATGTTTTAACTTTTAACAATTAAGATTTAAGAGAAGAAGTAGAACATAAATGGATTCTTATCAATCATGACGCCGTGGACCCTGGAAAATACTCCGTACTACGTAAGGGGTGGGGGTTATAAGGAAGTTTGTTTTCATGATTTCACAGGGAAAACAATCAAATAGGTCCTCGAACTT